CATATGTCTCCTTGCAAACTCTGTGAAGCAGGGGAGTACGTGCATTTGGGTAAACTGTGGGTTGGTAGGGCTGGTCGACCTCTGGAAACGGGAATTTAGATCACCGTTGCACAGGTCCCTTGGGCGCAGGCACGGGAGGGCGCAGATCAAGTGCTCTACTCTGAGCTTTGGGCTGGTGCTGCTCGTGCATCTTACATGGCGAAGCGGGAGGGAAGAAGGCTTTTTCGGGGGGGGGGGGGTGGGTTGAAAGAGAATTCTGGGGTTTTCCTTTTGGTTCCCCTCGATGTCAAAAAAGAGGGGCGCCCACGCCCCAAAAAGCCACGGGGATGCGGGGGCTTCCAGGACCAGGAGAAGCGGATGCCGGAGAGCAAGGTGGAGCTGCTGAACATGGCCTCCGACACATTGATCCGAGACCTGCATTTCGAGAGGCTCGTTTCTATTTTTTTTTTATTTTTATTTTTATTTTCTTCTTCTTCTTCTCTTTTTTTGTTTTCTCGCTCTTTTTTCTATTTCTCCGTTTATTTGGGTTCTTAGTTTTTTTCTTCGCGCCGCGGCTGGCTTGGTGGTCGCAGACGAAAAAAAAAGGTCTGAGTCCACAAAGGTTTGCAGATGACTCGCCTCAACGGCTGTTTTCACAGTTCCTCGTTTTGGAAGGTTGCTCCTTGTTTGGAAAAAAACACCTCCAGATATTGACATCATCGCGCTGTGCTCGGATGGCCTTAACCAGTTCACCCACTTTTTGAAGGAACTCTGCACTCTGGGGGAGTTTTGGCGAGGCACATGCCGATCCTCGCCACCCATCCGCTCTTCAGCTGCTTGCAATCTCTGGCAGAGGATGTGATGCGTCGAGTCTGCCACCATGCGGTGTCCAGGCCAGGCCAGACCCACTGCCACGCGCAGCAAGGGATTTGTCACAATCTCCAGTAAGATCAAGTCACATTGATCATGCGTTGAGTTGGGGCAGGACGTCAGATCGGACAACATGTTCCAGTTGTTTGCTGTTTGTAGGCTTTTCCCTGCTAATTACCCTCCCTTCCACTAACATGGCACCTCTGGGAGGGTACCTGGAAGATTGGTTTCCTCTTCAAGGGACCCCATGTCTGGTGCTATGTTAGTTGGAGGGGGGGGGTAACATCTCATTTTGAGCGGAGTGAAAGTGGTCTGAGCTAATTTGCCGGGCTGGACAGGATGTCGGTGAGTCCCAGCGAGGCCTCTTGTCTGCACCGGTCTCGGGGAAGCCTCATGACACGGATTTCTGTTCGATCGATCCAAGACGCTGGGCTTCCATGCGTACTCTTTTGCTGGCACGCCAGATGATTTTTTCCAACGATGACAGCACCGTCCAAGTGCCCGGGATGTTCTTCCTCGAGTCTGGAGTAGCAGTTTATATCAACAATCAAGGCGCGCGAGGCATGCTTTCGGCATGCGCAGATATGGCTGTTGATCTACGGGTAACTTTTCCCATTTATTGGACAACTATCATGTTTTTCCAACCAATGGTCATCCCATTTTCATCGGACCTTTTGATCAACCCACACACGCCGCGCAGACCCCAAGTTCTGTCCGATTTGCGCCTTACGCCCGCGCGCCCACCGCAGACCGCCAGACCGCCAGGGCACGTGGCGTTGAGCAGTGGCAGTCGAACTCCATGGATGTGTGAGCCGTGCTTATGGACCAACTGGCGCCTCGGCAGTTCAAGAGAAGGCGGATCGCGGGCCCGTTTGGCTTTGTGCCGCCCAAAGCTGATATCCGAATTGTGGACAGCCCAGAAGAATGTGAAGATATTCACAGCCCTAATTTTTGGACAGCCTAATTTGGTCAGCCCGAATTTTTGGACAGCCCAGAAGGGGGAATGGATCAGTCGACCTCGGAGGACGATCCTTGGCCATTGCTTGGCCAAGACTCGGTGCTCGGTGCTGCGCGTGGACGCGGAACAATTCAGGCGCTGGTGTTGGTCCTTCCGGATTTGTCTACGGTCCATCAGGGCTCCCTCGATTTCCCTTTTTGGGGCCTCCAACAGCAATTTTTGTTAGAATCCACCAGTAAACTGCAACCTTGAAGGGGAAATCGAGTGACGCCTGTCCGTTACGCCTTTTTTTTTGAGGGTACCCTTTTCAGATCGTGCGGAAACCAAGTCCGACCACCATGTTTTGGCTCCGCCTTTGGTACATATCCATGGAAGAATATGGGGACTCGGTAAAATTCAAGAGTGGCCCATAGGATCGACATAGGAAGGGTGTGATTCCTGGAGACCATGATCAGCCTCTGCCCAGTTGGTGTTTGGGAGTTGCAGCAAACAAAGCGCAGGCAGGTGGCAATGAGTGCGGTCAACCAAGCGCCTTGGCTGGCTTGGCCTTTGCGCTCTGCCTGGAGAACAATCGTCTCTTAAACTTTGTCAATATATATATATATATACAGATGTACGCGGTATTCTTCTTCTTCTCCTTCTTCTTCTTCTTATTATTATTATTATTATTTACATACACACATACGCATGATACAGAGGGAATATTTGCACCACCGGGACATCCGGGGGGGCTCTCCAGGTCCCACACCAAGCATCCCGGCCCTGGCGAGGTTTCACCAAGTGTTAGCCGACTTCACCCAGGGCGGTTGGTTTCGGGCATGACCATGAACTAGCCAGGGGGGAGCGTCTCTTTTTTTGTTTTTCAAACTATATATTTATATGTTTTTTTTTTGCTTGTTTTTCCTTATGTGTCTTTTTGAGATGTTTACATATCTAATTGTGCGTTCCCGTCCCCAGGTCGAGGTTCGCTAGCCCCTCCACTCACCAAGCTTCAGCCAAGTGTAGACCCTTCCCGGCTCCGGTTACCCAGACTAAACGCAGTCTCAAGTGAGCCAACCCTTCGCCCTTAAGCAAGCCTCAACCATGAAACAACCCTCAACCAACCCAACCCCACAGAGAACGAAGGACCTTGCAGAGCACGAATGAGGACTGTCTGAAATTGATCGTCATATGTACCCGACACTATCGATGAAGAGACTTGTAGAAACTGGACACAGCTGCACCTTCGATACCGTTCGAACAACTGTGACCGCTGCCTGTATCAGTTGTCAGTCTTTTGCAGAACGCGTCACCGCACAAGGATGCCTGTATCAAAAAACATACGACCAGACGGAAATCGCTGCACTGGAAGCTGTGGTGCGCGATGTATACTTGTCAGCTCCAGCTCTAATATCACAACTATCCGTGCAGCACGGCACGCTCGCTCGAAATCGCATTTCTTGAAGTACATCTTGGCAGCTCCAGCTTGAACATCGTAACTTGCCCGTTAATTTTGCAAATGACAAGTTTTCAGTAGTGAAGTGCACTTGTACGGTGAATTCTTCAAACCAAAGGAGTGGACTCTTTAGCCAAAAAGCACGTGCATCTCGACGAAACGGGCCAATGAACCTGCAACCAAATACCAACCAAGCATCACGGAACCGCCAACTGGGTGGCCACGTGGGACTAAGGGTATTGGTCGCCCCATCGGCCGGTATCGGTTATCGGTCAGACAATGGCACTAGCCATTTGGAGAGTACTTCATAGTCAATCCGTATCGCGTCACGGAGGATTGATGTTGTTCTGCTGAAAATAGGCACCCCGCAGAAGCCGAGACGAAAAGCAGCACTGAGATTGAGAACTGGAAGTGAGAGGGGCCAGGAGCCTCTTTTGTCTCAACCAGTTTCGCCCCCCATTCATCGAGATGGCGCATGTTCAAACCCTCCAAAAGTGGCAGTTTCAAAGGGAAACCACCGGTAAGTTTTGACCTTTTTCGGGTGATCTTTCGAGGACTTTGTGCCGGTGACGCGAACCTATGCCCGGAAGTTTCTGGAGGCTCTCAACGCTCGAGACAGTGAAGACGTGAGCGATTTGCACCTTGGGATTCGAGAGAGTCCTTTGGTCGGAAGTGCGCATGACTTGTCGGTGCGAGAGCTGCAGGGAATGGGAGAAATGGAACCCCGAGAGAAACCGGCCATTTCCTCTGCCTTTGAGGGAATCCCCCAAAACCGGTTCATTCCCTCAATTCCCCGAGCACACTACGGCACCAAGCCGTTGGCGCCAGCCGCCCTAAGCCGTTGATGGCGCGCCAGGCCACAGTTCTTCCATCCAGAATCCACCGGAATGTCGTTGCGCGCTGAGGCACGACCAAACGGATCTCAACGCCATCATGGAGGAGGTCCGCATTGCCACCGGCACGGTGAGCAACAGCGCTGCGCGCCGTGCCAAGGTCCTGAATTCTAAGGTTACGATCCTCGGCGGGATCGAAAGAGAGGAGTCGAGTTTTTTTTTGTTGTTGTTAAGATGCCCGGCCTTGGATTTTTTGTTGCAAGACATCGGGTGTGACCTTCATCTTTTTGTGATCCTGCACCCATGTCAGGCAGTCTTACGTTTTTCTGCTGTGCATCCTGAGGAGGCAGAGTTGGTTTGGCCACTGAGATGTGAGTCCGGCAATTGGCCGTTATTTCGCACCCGCGCAGAGTTTTCCTGGTCTATCCCGCGCGTCTCTTTGGTTTGCGAATGCAACATCTGCAGAGGTGGAAGGGCATTTCTGTGCAAAGCACATGACATATAGTTCATCGTAGAACTGTTTGCGGCCCTCAAGGGGCATCGCCCCACCTGACTCCCTTGCCGAAGCAGGAAGCAAAAGATGGGCTTGTTTGCAGCCATGCCCGGTATGAGCTGAGGCGGCACAAGCCGCGTGAGCTAGGAGGCGTTTTTGAGGTATGCTGGAGGCCCCCTTTTAAACATCCTCCAGAAAGGCTCTGATTAGATACATTATTACCTATTTAACTGACGATATGCAATTTGATTCATTCAACGAGATGCTTGGTTTTTGGCAGGGCTCCTTAAAAGATGCATTTGCAACCGTTTGAAACATGTTGCTTTTTCAACACCAAAGTAAAGTTGGACACCACCATTTACAAGGCAATGTTCGGGTGTATGATGCATCCGGATCCCTGTTTGGGGTCCCTGATTCTGTGGGAATTCCAAGGCTACGGGCCACAAGATCAAGTTCATCCCTGGCCAGGGCCTTTTGTGACGGCTCGCTCAGCCGAGCCTCGCGATTCGGAAGGTGTGGCAGTCGAATGACCTCCCCAAATGGCTATGTGGCTGTGGTTGTCAAAACCGTTTTGGGATCCCATTTTGGGCTAGGTGAATTCACCAGCCATTTTAGAACCTATTTTAGTGGGGATTGGGATGTTCACTGGGGGTACGGGGTTTTGACCCATGGCCATGTCCTTTTCTCCAGACCCACGACCAATGTGTTGGGCGGTCACAAATGGGTGTGGCTCAAAAGTAGATCCGAGCCAGGTTTCCTTCTCTCTTTTTTCTCTCTTTTTTTTGGTCAGCTTTTCAACATTTACAAGAACTCCATTTCGCGCCCGATTCTTTCGAGTCGCACCGAACTTCCAGCAGATGTCTTGACCGCTGGGTTGGACCTTTAGACTTGAACTTTGTTGAAATCAAAAGTTGGGTTTCCCACTAAACCGGGCCCCAAAAAGTTTTTTTTTTTTTTTTTTTTTTTTTTTTTTTTTTTTTTTTTTAACTTTTCTCAGATGGGTCAGCAGCAACCAAGATTTCTCCCGCGTCGCGCACCGCCAATAATTGGCGAGGTTGGGACTGCCATGGCCTGCCCATCGAGCTGAAGGCCGAGGGGAAGAGGAGCAGATTCCGCCGGCGACCTGAAGACTCCTCGTTTCCAGTGGACCCTCGTGTTTCGTGTTTTGGGAGACCCCCCCTTTTTTCTTTTTGCCTCAGAGTGGAAACAACACCAAAACATATGCCGAATGAAGTCCCTTGCAAACTTCTGGTTGAAGAAGACATCTGACGGGAGGAGAACCTATGTTGTCAAAACTGGGGTGCACGTCGCTTGCAAATCTCTAAGTCTTGCATAAGGGAACCTGGGGTTCAGGAAGAAATGGTTTGTCACCATGGCACAATATTCGACCAAAGCTCGCTGTTTGCTGCAGGATCTTGCTGCACGTAAAATGGGAGGCTGCGCATCCATGTTTGGTTGCGTTTCTTTCTGTTTTCCGGTTCGTGTCGTGGTGTGAATGTGACACTTTTGTGGCGGTAACCGGTTCCCTGTTTCCACATGGTTGTCCATGTAGGTGTCTTAAACTCGGGGGGCCCACAAAACGGATGGTTGTACCTTTTTTTCTAAGAAACATTCGCTTCAAACGAGTCCAAAACAGGGCACAGTTGAAACAAGGCGCCCATGAGATACGTTTGGTTGGATTCCGCTGGCAGGTTCTGCAGACGCTGAAGTCCAAGGAGAAGAAGGACCTCACGCCCCTGAAGCCGGGGGCCCTGAAGCCATGTGGTTGGGGTAAACCCTGGTTTCTGATGATTCCCCAGCCTACATACCAACCAAGAAGGGTTTCCCGTGGTTTCAACTTGGTGCGAAAGGGATTTCGCAACCATCCACATGAACCTTTCTAACCGTTGACGTCGAGCAGACGTTGTGCCTTGGAACCCCGAAACGTGGGGGGGGGGCACCTGAGAAATGAAGGTGGACAGCTCCACCGGGGCTTGGGGGGTTGGGTTTCAAGGGGCACCTCGACAACGATTCCACCGATGGAGCGCATCGGCCTGAAGGATGGGAAGGCTTTCAAGACAGCATTGAGCCTGGCAGAGGCTGCCGCGTCTTGCCAAACGCGGCTGTCACGTGTCGCATAGGAGCAACACTCAACATGTCCGGACCGTTTAGTGCAGGGGAATGGGGTTTCACCAAAATCCTCTATCAGGGGCTTGGGATTGCGACGTGTGACTCACCGTAATATTCTATAAACATATATGTTTTGTGAGGCTATTCTTTCAAGGTTGGTTGAAAGGGAGACCAAAAGGGAAGCAAACTAAATTTTTGCCGCGGAATCGAACCATTCCAGGGGTTCTCTGGTGCGAAATGGATTTCGTCCATCACAAGCAAACCAGCAGCTCGGGTTCAGGGGAGCTTGAGAATTCCCCTTTTGCATACCCAAACGGCCTGCTGATGTTCATACCTCTCTCCCCAGAAGGGGTATGTACCCAGGGAAACCAATGGGTATGAACACGGCGTAGGTACGTTCTACCCTTCGCTTGGGCCATGGCCAAAAAGCGGCGCACGGCTGAGCGACTAGTTGGGTCGGCCTGCGCCGAGGTTGCGCCAGCAGGCGGCCAAGTTTGCCCAGGAGACGGTGCAGGAGCAGAGGCGCGGCTCCCTTTCCGCACAAGAGGCAGGCAATTTTTCCCCAACAGCTGCTCCAGGGTGGTACGGGGCGGCCCTGAGGTAAGGTTCCACGAGGGTTCCACCAGGGTTCCACCAGGGTTCCACCAGGGTTCCACCAGGGTTCCACCAGGTTCTGCGAGGGCTGCGGGGTGGTGCGAGCACTAAACAGAGCACCGCATTCTGTTGGGGATATCACCTGAGCTTTTTTTCATTTTTTTTTGGGGGGGACCGCTACAGGAGTAAACAACGAAGTCCAAAGGAGCAACAGGCAAAAAGTCAGAGTTACCGTTGTTGGGAGGAGGACACGAAGGGGGGGGCAACCCAGATTTCCCGCAAAAACCCGCGGGGGGGCAGGGGACTGGTCTTCACTCTCGCATGTCCTCTTGGACGCCCAAAATCTTGATGCCCCTGTGTGCACATCCTTGCAACGGGGGTGCAACGCTGGTTTTGGGAGAAACAAAAAACCGGCCAATATTCACCTCCATATCTGGTGAAAGCGCGCTGACATGCGTGTACCCATCCATCCTTCGGCATACTGGGCGAAGCCACCAAGAAAACAAGAGCACACAACAGTGCTTGGTCAGCCAGCGTTGATAGTTTCCGACCAACGTGACATTTGTGAGAGAAGGGGTCCTAATGGTCGGTGCATTTGCACCCTGCGGTAAAACGAGGGTAGGTGCGGCCCGTGAGCTTCAAACGAGCCTCACCCGGCAACAAGCCCAAGATATCTTTTATGGGGGCTGATGCCCGACGAAAGTGATTCGCTTGAGGGCGGTTCTGCGTCTCGAAGACAAACTCTTGGTGGGCGGATTGGTGGAACTGGCAGATTTGAGGAAGTTCTCCATGGAGGGAAAAAGGAAGAATGAGCTGTGGGTCAACGATGGGTCCCAAAATGGAACTCTGCAAAATAGAAACATGGACTGATACCAGTGGTCCCCTGGTAGTGTAATTTTGACCCACAGCCAACGAGCAATCATCATAGTCTGCGTGAACTCTGCCTGTCGGTATATCCAAAACGCCTCTTCTTCGCAGTGGCTACGCGCATCGGCATGGCGAAGCAAAGAGCCAAGCGAAGAGACCGCGAGCAAGGAATAGTCTAGCGGTAGCTTCCCCATTCTTTCCACGGATCCTTCTTTCTAGAAAACCACCAACAACCCTGGTTAAATGTCTGGTTTTTGAAAAGAACGATGGCTGAAAAGAATGGGGAATCAACCCCTAGAAATAGGGGTACTCAGCAAATCTCCCAGGTAATACTGTGCATGGTTGCGAGATCCTGCACGCACCTAGGAAGCCATGGTTGAAGCCATAACGTTTGTTGGTATTTCCAGAGGTATCGACTCATTCCAGTGTTTCCAAACGGTGGTGCGAAGTTGATTTCGTCCATCCACCGGGCGTCGGAAGATGCCGGGCGAGACCGTGGATCTTGAGCGTGCGCCCGTGATCCCCGTTGATCATATACACATCAAGCAGAAGGTGATTGCTAACAATGTAAGAATCAAACAAATACCGGGATTCTGCGCGGTGAATCGAATCGCGCGCGGCAGGTCTTCGTTTGAGCGCTATGGCGTTTGGGGCGACTTCGACGAGCCGTACCTGACGCTGCTTCCAAAGTATGAAGCAGCCCAGCCGCTGACTTACCTTTCAGCCTTGAAACCTTTGTGAAAATGGCTGCTTCGCAGGACAACTAGCTGGTCCAAGATCAACTCAGAGGCATCCTTGCAACTGGCTAGGAGACATTTCTTGCGCTTAAACATGTTCGCTTTTTGCGACATCCCAGGACAAAATCTTCATGGTTGGAACAAAAGCCGATGGACATAAATCCCCGGGGTTTTCTGTCCAAAGGATCCCCCCAAAAAAGCAAGACCCATGTCACCCAAACTGGCCACCTTTGTTTTTTTCTTGCTTGAGGCTGCGCATCTTCGAGGACAGACAGCGCCAAATGGCTGTTAAGTCGTGTGATTTTTTGAGGTACCCCCGTCCACTGGAACCCATGTTGGGGGGGGGTGCTTTCTGATCCTCGGAAAATGGTCCAACCGCTCAGCTTCAGATGGGAGGCCTCTCCAGAGGGCAACTGGATCAACTTTTGGAAGAAAATGCCATGTGCCGAGAC